GGGGGGGGGGGGGGGGGGCACTCCGGCAGGGAATCTGCGGGGTTTTCGAGAAAAAAAGTTCGAGCGCCCAGTGCACCCGCAACTTATGGGACGAAAAAACGTTATGTCTTGTGTGGTATTGCAGCCCACAATAGTCAACACTTGACGCCGGAGAAGAACAAAGGGTATGCATTTGGCCCAATTGTTTTGCCTCGAAAGGACAGGCACACCTCCGTAAAGAAGCAAACAAACCGTGCGGGGAATATCGGTCGATGAACACCGTCCATGAAACACGCTACCTGCGGCTAGGTAGCCCTTCGAAGAGAATATTTCGTGCATACCGTGAGTCGGGAAGCCGCGATTCCCGAAGTCATACGCAGGCGAATGTTTTCGCGTGTACGTGAAGAAACAGGTGCGTCATGACATGACACACGACGCCCCTATAGAGTCAATGCTGTACAATCGCGGCCGAAAAATAAACTAGGCGTGCTTCTCGTCAAAGGAGTCTGGCAACAAAGAAAGGGTGTCGCGATAGCCCCAAGACGACCCGATTCTCTTATCAAAGAATTCCCCGTACTCACGTCGAAGCCGCACCCGCCGAGGTTGAGCGACATCATCTTCGGGGAAGACGACGCGAGCGCGACGAGCGCGTTCTGAACGTGTTCAGTGCCGTCCTCCTTCGTCTTGATCACCTTGGCGAGCTCGTCCCCGTTCACGCTGTTGCCGTAGAAGGCCAAACATTCGAGGAGGCCATTCGACACCGACGCGCTCGACGCCAGAGACTGCGGGGCCCCCGGCGCAGGGAACGGGGGGGAGGACAAGGACAAGGTAAGGCGCCGATCTGAGCCACCTACCAAACCAGCGTGCGCAAATCGTGCCGGTGAGTGCTCGGAGGACAAAACCTAGGTACGCATACCTGCGGAATTTTGCTCGCACGACAAGAAACACACTCGCATGCAACGATTATATCTCTCTCTATCTCCCTCCCCATCTTGTATACTATTTCCGGTCTTTAACCCCCCTGTGCGCACATTGCAAAAACGGCCATGTCTGAAGTGAGGGAAGACGGACCCGTGCACCCTTTGCTGTGTGAGCTTCAAGCCACTAGCTTTGGTTAGTCGCTTTTGCGACATGCGGCACTTGGCAGTGTGCGTCTACCTCGAAGAGAAACAGAGATAATTGACAAATCATTTTTGTCTGGTGGGTCATCGACTCGCTACCGTGCCATATACTTCTACATGGTACACGGGTCAACGCTAGAGGTGCACCCTCCTCCCTGATCTCACAAATCCGCGGAGCACCACAGCAATTGTGGAAATCTACGTGCATTTTCGCGGGGAAGACCGTGCTAGAAAGTAGGATGACACTACTAAGGAAAACCCTCAAATCTCTTGCGACGGTGATACGTCGTGTGTACGGAAGACACGCCCGGCGGTTGTGCAAGGACCCGATCTCGACCCGAGACAGACGCGTTTTCCTCGTTTGGCATCGACTCGTGGTAGTCCTTGTGTGATTGTTCTCGTCCCTCCCTCTCGCTGATAATAGATCTACAGCAGTACGTGTTATTCTTCCCGGCTTCACCGCTCGTTTTCAGCAAGGTCTCTCAAGTTTTCCAGCAGCACTGGGTTCGGCACGGTGATCCAACGCGATACGATCGCTCTGCCCGGTCAAAAACAATTTTCCCTGGTCTTCTAGGATATGCGAAGTATGCATTGTGTAGGCAGCACTGTTGGAAGCATTGGCTTGGGTCTAGCATACGGGTTCTTCGGGCTCAAAGAGCGTGCGCTCAGGCTTGTAGAGGTGGATTCGGGATGTCGGAGAGCGAGTTCAGGTCTACCCCGAGTACAAACAAATGTCCCAATCATCAAATTATATTCGTGGCCTGCACCCGTGCTTTCAGCCGCCCCCACTGCCGGGCAGGAGGTGGTTGTCTCGATGCACCTTGGGGTTTCAGCTTTGGTGTAAAGCTGCAGTGAAGCAGAAGCGTGGAGTGGAGTGGAAGGAGTGGAGCGGACCGAACGGGGCGGGTCTGTGCGTCGCAATCTGTGGGGATGGGAAGTGATTCTCCCTGGGCGATAGTTACAGGTCCTGCCGTTCGTCCGTTTAGGTCGATGAGTAACAACGCGCCACCCCTTTGAGCATACTCTTTTTTGGACCATTGCGCGCCACCCTGGCTTCATATTTCATCAGTGGGTAAACCAACAGGGAACCCACAATAATTTGAGTGTGGGTAGGGTCTAAGTTCGTTTCCACTGCCACTTTTCGTGAAAATCGAACGCGCAATTTCTTAACTACAAGTGGCGCGTTCTGTAGCGGCTAGGAAGAAGCGCGTTTTACGGGTCGACGTTCAGTTTCTTTTCTTACTTCATCGCCACCGTCGAGAATAGACTACCTTATTTTGGGTGTCGTCTAGGATCCGCCGCAGATATTTACTTCGACCTTCATATTTTTCGGGAAATTGTGCGCTAATTTGTTTCTCAACAACAAATTTCTTACCAAAGAAGCCAGCATGTAGTGCACACGTTGTAGCGGTCTAATATGAAACAACAACAAGACACAATACCCCTTCGTGCAGTCAAATGTCATCGACAGCGAGTGGTTGCGCGTGTCTGTCATTCCATTCATTTTTTTCTACATGCTGTAAGTCTCTGCACGCATGTACATACGGCCCGTTGTCAGACACGGGCATCTGGACGCATAATCGATTAGTCAGGGTCACGCAGGCAGGAGGCGAGGAGTTATCCGGAGAGAACATATTCAATTACATAATACAATAATAGTAGCACACAACATACACGTTGCAGCGAACGGATGCCCTTACGTTGATGACGCTCGTAGCGTCGACCTCCGTGTCCGACAACTGGAAGTCGCTCAGCTTCTCGCATTTCAGGAGCACCTGCGAAACAAAGGAGCGGGACGGCAGTGTGTACACAAAGCGGTGTCAGCCTGTCGGTCAATATGGTTAGACTAATTAAAAATAGCACCAGACAGAGGGCGCGAGGAGAGATCAAAATTCGATGTTTCATCGTCATCGGAAGCCGAGAAAACAAACAAACATCACAGAACAAAATGTACATTTTATTGTTGTTTTCTTTCGAATTGCTTCATTATTTTCTTCGGTTTCTAGGAGACACGTTGGGGAGTGAGACACACGGAACGCCCGTCGTCTCGCCAGCCACATTAACTACGAGGCGCGGCGTTGACTCTTGCAAAGCTGTCTCACTCCCCGCAAATAATACCAGCCGGGGGACTACGACTGTAAACAAACGTAGGGGTCCCGAAACTGACCAAGCCCCAAATGGTACACACCATTCTATCTACAACACCGACATCGAGGTCATTTTCTGGACAACTACGGCAGAAGTCGACGATCATCATGTTTCTTACTGGGATGTTTCTTATGTTGTGGCCAAGATTGATCTGTGTTTCTTAGGCCTTTTTTCTTTATCTTCCGTAAAAATTTGAGCCTTTCTTTCTCAACAGAAGTTTTCTTGACTGCGGGCCCCATCTGTACAGTCTGTTCAATGTGTACATGTTTTTCTGTGATGTTTGTTTGTTTTCTCGGCTTCCGATGACGACGAAGCATCAAATTTTGATTTCTCCTCGGGCCCGCCCTCTGTCTGGTGCTATTTTTAAATAGTCTAACCATATTGACCGACAGGCCGACACCGCTTTGTGTACACACTGCCGTCCCGCTCCTTTGTTTCGCAGGTGCTTCTGAAGTGTGAGAAGCTGAGCGACTTCCAGTTATCGAACACGGAAGTCGACGCTACGAACGTCATCAACGTAATGGCTGCCATTACGTTGATGACGTTCGTAGCGTCGACCTCGTGTTGGACAACTGGAAGTCGATCAGCTTGTCGCACTTCAGAAGCACCTGCGAAACAAAGGAGCGGGACGGCATCGGAAGCCGAGAAAACAAACAAACATCACAGAAAAAAATGAACCAGGTACATATTGTATAGGCTGTACAGATGGGGCCCGCAGTTATGAAAGCTTCTGTTGAGGAAGAAAGGCTCAAATTGGTACGGAAGATAAGAAAAAGGCCTAAGAAAGAAACACAGAACAATCTTGGCCACAACATGAGAAACATCCCAACAAGAAACAAACATGATCGTGCGATACCCCAAGACAAAAGAAACAAGGGGTAGAAGCTGGGGTAGCGTATCCAAAGAAACGTCCCACTGCTGCTGCTGCTGCTGCTGCTGCTGCCATGCTCCCGCCCCCTACCTAGCTCATGTCATGTAATTTTTTGGTAGGGGCAGAGAGTGGTTATTTTCGCGGCGCCCCCCGCGCCCCAGCGCCGCCGCGGGCTGCGCAGTACCTACTGCTTCTAAACTTGTGTACTCACACAACTCCCAATGTTCGCCACACCAAGCTGTCGGTTTAATGAAGGCTTGGTGTGTTATTGCTTTCTTCGCCATCAGAAATAAATATTAAAATATGAGAATCAGCAAGGAGGATGCGACATCCCGAAGGAATACAGTACGGGCCTGGAGATAAGAAACGTCAAAATGGGGTCGAGGCTCAATCCCTTGTTTTGGGTCGAAGGACCAGCCGAAGTCGTCCATTTTCTTAAAAGGCATTTCTTATTTCATATTATTTGGACTGTCGCATCCTCTTGATTATGTTATTTCTTACTTTCTTATTTCTGGCTTGTGTCTTATGTATTGGGGGTATCGCATGATCACGTTTGTTTGTTTCTTGTTGGGGCGTTTCTTTTGTTGTGGCCGAGATCGAGCTGTGTTTCTTAGTCCTTTTTTCTTATTTTTCGTGAAAAGTTTAGCCTTGAGAAGGTGTTCTTTGGCTAGTTGTCTTTTTTTGAGAAGGAAAAAAGAAAAAGAGCCTGTTACCCGCAGGGGAGATGTCCCTATATGCTGTCTGGGAAATCGTAGACATACAGGTACTTTCTGACGCTATGAATCCATTGATGATTGCTAATCTGTCTCAGACTCTTTTCTATGATAAAGATGGTTTCGTTGTGTCATATTAAGAAAAAAAAAAAAAAAAGACAGCCAGCCCCAAAAAAGAACCGTAAAAATGGCCACTTGTTAAAAGCTGTCTTTTTTTTGGGCTGTCCCTTTTCTCAAAAAGAGACGACCCAAAAAAAGATCTGGAAAAACGACAACCCACTTCTTAAGAAATGGCCTTAGTATTTCTTAACGGATTTTTTCTTAATTGCGAGCCCTATCTGTAAGAAATTCGTTTTAAGAATATTGGCCGACTTCGGCTGGTCCTTCTGCCCGGAATAAGAAATTGAGGTTCGACCCGATAGTGACGTTTCTTATCTCCGGGCCGCATCTATCTGTAGTATGCTCTCTGTATGCCCCACGAGCAAACTACAGCGTATCTACGTGAAGCACCCACAAATTCACACCAAGCACGCCTCCTAATGTGTCTTCTTCCAGCAAGAAAATACGTTTTCCAAACCGAAGGTGTCAACTACCACCCGTCTTCGGCAGGTATCGATCGGTGAATCCTGAATCGTCATTCGACACTGCTGCTGCAGACCTACATGTAAACTAACGCTGTGATGACTTCGACAGAATTCGTTGGGGGCTGTCTCGAAGACACAACAAAAGTAGTCGACAGCCGAGGCCCTGGTGCAAGTCGGCAATCTCTCACGCACAAAGAGGCACTACATACAGCAGTGTACAGTAGTTACAGTAGCATCGGTTACAGCAGCAAGAGGCGAAGCAGGGATATAGTAGTCTAGATGCACATTGCTCGACTCACGTTTGCTAGGGCTTTCATGCCCTCTTCTCCACCCATGCACCCTCCGAAGTGCAGGGTCTGCACGAGCCCCGGGTTGATCATGCTCTGAACAGCCATAGTGTAGCGTTGAGATAGCAAGGATTCGGTTGCGGGACAGACGATAATGAGCGGAAAGTTATACCAGTACTACTTGTGGGTTATTTGAACACTGAGAGGGGACGGACCGGTCGAACTGGATTGCGACGTGGCGACTTTGAGATGAACAAAGGCGTCAGTGAACAATCGGCAGCGTTTTGGCGTGCATGATGTGGTGATCGGGGCATTGTTGGTGGTCTAAGTCGGTCAAACTGGAGGAGACACATGTAGTAGACTTACCGTAGGTTGCGTAAGATACCACACTCCCTGCTGGGCCGATTTTCAAAGCTCGATTTCTCCACGGGGCGAAGAGGATACCACTCTCAAATGATGCGTTTTGGGGAATCTCTCGACAAGATGGTTCCAACGCCATGGTTTTCGGCCCCATCGCTGTCTGCTGCCGAGTATTCGAGCTTTGAGAATCGGTCCAGAGGGGGTGTGGTACATACGTTTGTAGCCTTTTACACAAATGGATGAACACGATGGGGGTGGAGATAAGGGGGGGGCCGTGGATAAAAAATGAAAAAGTTGCCTAGACTACAAGTAGTACAATTAATTGTACAAATACATAGAGTACGGCCTGATGGCCTGATGGACGCAAATGAACGTATGTCATCATCGAGGGGCTGGGACGTAGGGCTTGACGGGGGGAACGCTTCGCGGTTGGGAGGATCTACTATAATAGACTATAACACTTGTGGTCTACGCTTGCTTGGACATTGTGCCATAGACTATCTATCTATCTATCTATTTGATTGGAGACAATGTGACCGTTGCAAAATGAAGCGAAACTTGGTAGCGCGGTCGCAACACGGGAAAACCACACCCCGTACATGCGTACGTTGGGTTTGGCTCGTCGAAAAAATGGCTCGGGTTCAAGATAGTTCAAGATATGTTGGGCGTGAGCAAGCAGCAGTGGCGACAGGAAAATAATGTCGTCCGTTCTGCCCCAGGCACGTTAATTTGGCACTTTTGGTGAAATACAGCAAGCAGTAAGTAAGTGTGGAAATTCAGGCAAAAAAAACAAGAAGTTGTAGGAACGTAAGAACTTGGCCATAAGATTGTGTGGTCTTATCTCGAATGGGTAGTCTTATTGCGAAGGTGTACAGATTCTGGTAAAAGTCAATCGACGGATACCCTGCGAATCGGGTCCTCCTTAACACTTATTATCTCGAATGGGTAGTCTTTCTGTGTTTGTATTTTTTAGGGCAGTGGCCAAAATCGGGTACACCCGGTCCAAACACGGCCATAGTCGGGTACCCCTACAAGATGCTGCTGGGAGCGACCGTATGCCACCATCTGATTGGCCGACGCCCGCCCCTATACCCGACCTTGACCGCCTTTCCAACGGGAGGTACCCGGTTTTTCTTTCCCCAACCCGAAAATGGCTGGGCTGTTCGACCAAAACCCATGCACACAACCAACCACGGGTCGGACGCACACCGGACCGCTGGCCCTCGTTTGTCGCCAATAGTGAGAAAGTAGCGGGAGGGAAAGAAATATGCCTATTCTTGAGATGAGTCCCGTGTGTGTCGCATCTCGTGAGGGCGTGAGGGAGGTATTCATCCAGCTCTTTCTTCTTCTCGATCATTTGCACAGACCGCCAGCCGTTTCCCCCAAGGGAGACTTCCACCGCCGGCGGGGGGTCTGCCTCCGCCCGCCGGGCCGTCAGAAGGTCCGAATTCGAGGGCCAGTGGTGTGCGTCCGACCCGTGGTTGTGTGCATGGGTTTTGGTCGAACAGCCCAGCCATTTTCGGGTTGGTTGGGGAAAGAAAAACCGGGTACTCCTCCGGGGGGTGAGTAGCCAAGATCGGGTGCACCCGGTAGAAAGGCGGTCAAGGTCGGGTAGGGGCGGGCGTCGGCCAATCAGATGGTGGCATGTGGTCGCTCCCAGCAGCATCTTGTAGGGATACCGGATTATGGCCGTGTTTGGACCGGGTGTACCCGATTTTTGCCACTGCTCTATTTTTTATGTTTCCTAATAAGATCACGTACGTACGTGCTCAGTCAAGAATTCTACACTAAAACGAATCTTATAGTGGAGTCACTCTTTCTTCTTGGGATACCCCATAGAGAAAATAAGAAACGAGCCTCGCCCGAAATAAGAGGTTCGGGCGCTAACTGTATCGGGTGGCGGCAACTAGAGAGCACGGCGTGGCTGTCCGTTTCACAAAACGTCTTCTTCAGCTAGCTGTCTGTGTACATATATATGTACGGTAGATGAGTAATTGGCATGGCCCGGGGAAAGATCGGAGCGATTTGACGACGGGCTAAATATCAAGCGAGAGAGGGCTTTTTTTCCCGACGCCGGCAAAGGTTTGGATCATCACCGTCGCGACGATCATCATCTAGTCTCTATCGGAAGGCCGACCGACAGCCAATGAACAGCGGCGAATAGCGGAGGAGGAGGAGGGGGAGGGACGAGCAAACCCATAAAAAAAATACTTCCAACATTATATCAAAATTGGAGTTCGTAGACGAGTCTCGAACGATGCTCCAACGGACAGTCAGTCTACTTGCTCCAGTTGATACACCGGGTAGTCTAGACAAGTAGGTGAGACGTTGTATACGGCAGGATTGCCAGTTACGAACGCGAACTGATGGAAGTTGATGAGTTGCGGAATAAAAAAACATGGAGGTTTTTTGGCAGTCGAAGTTTCAGTACCTAGAACATAGGATGCTTTCCCGCAGGTGCTTTCCCGCAGGCTGCCACACGGGGGGGGTGTACTCATAGTCAGTCGTGCATGCCGTAGTCGTTAGACCATTGACCTCGCATCCCTACAAAGCCGGGACGGAGCAAGCCGGGTTCTCACCGGACCAGGCTCTCACATCACCAAGCGCGAAGCGCCGTGAGGTTTTCGGCAAGTCGCATGAAGGGTGGGTGCGCTGCATCCTGCAAAGGGTGTTCGGCATCTTGTGCTTACTTCCTTGCGTACGGATGACAGCTGCGTATGACTTAGTTTATTTTCTGGTGGTATCACTTCCAGAGACAATAGTAAGCGCTGTGTAAGTGCCTCGAGGATGCTTGACCATTTTAACACAACGTGGTGCGATCATCCCCCTTGCGCGGAGTGAGGGTTCTCAACCCCGCACATCATGATCTACTCGACCACCATCATCATGGAAACCGCACAAAAACAACAGATGTAAAAAAGAAACGGTACAGTAACCTGGTTTGCCGAGTTCACGAAGTGAATGGGCTCGTTTTACAGCGTCGTTGCCAAGCGACGAAAACCCAATCCCGATGGCAAACACCGAGGGAGGGAGCTTGTTTACAACGTCGTTGCCAAGCGACGAAAACCGAACCCCGATGGCAAACACGGGGGGGGCTGCCACACGGGTGAGGTCAAAACGCGAAAGTGATATCGATACCCGCAGGCCACAGCCACCGCCTCCCTACCCCCGCCCCCCCCCCAATGTTACAACGTAACACCCCTGAAGCTACTCTCGTGATATCGGCAGGCGTTTTGGATGAGAATTCGACCTCCTCCTGCTACCCTCGCGAGCTGTCGTCGTGATAGTCACCACTGTCAGCGGCCATATTGCCGTCAGGATCGTCAATGGATTTGCGTCGGCGCTTGTGCGGTACAGTCGGCGGGTTTCGGGGGACATTGGGCCGGAGAGCTGGGGACCGACCCATCGACAATAAAATTGTGTGGAACGCCTGCTACGTAAACGAGAGGCCTCGGGGGTAGGCAGCATTCGAAAAGAGAGCTGGGGACCTCGAGACGATACAGAGCTGGGGACCGCGAGACGATACACTCACGTACCGCATACCGACAATGGTGTAGTGTTTCAAAGCACCCAATATTGAGGGGACCAGCAGCGGTACCAGACGCAGACGGACAGATGTATGTGTGGGGTTGTGAGAAAAAAGTGACGGGGAACAGGCTGGTCCTCTCAGAGAAGAGGGGAACCGTGTGTCCAAACAAACGAAACCAGAAACGGTATACATACAGCTTTTGAGCGTCTCCCTGTCTCCATGCTGCATAGAAAATTGACCTCACTCACGGTGAGTTGGATCATGGAAGGTCCCGAGAGGTTGCTGTTGACCAGCAGGAGATCGCGCATGTGGTCCGATTCGATTATCGGGCGGCAGTCCTCCACGCTTTCCGGGGTGAGGGTGTTTTCGCCCATGTCGAATAGCGAAATTTTCTTGTCATAGACGCCTTCGCAGAACGCCTTGAAGACCCCGGTTCCCGTGTTGTTCTGCGCAGCGTCGATGATGTCGCTGAAATCGATCTGCAATCGTTGAGCACAGTAGTTGTAGTGAAGCACACGGAAGACACGATGTAGTTCGTGTGATCATTTTCTCGGCGGAGACGCGGACTACGAGCTTCCGGAGGGGTGGCGGAAAGGGTTCGACGGCTTTGCTCCCTAGAAACAGCGGTGAAAATCGAGGCTGCTTGAATCTTGGGACGCTGCAGACAGCGTGCGGTTTTTGCCACATGAAAAGCGTGTGATGTTTCGTGAAAATATGCATGCACCGCGACCAACCGGCGTACGCACAATAGAGAAGCACCGCAGAGGTAATTTAGCTCTGACAAAATTTTGCCGTGAGTCACGGGGCTCCTGCTCCCGCCCCCACCCACGTCGAGCACTCTATCCACAAGAAATAAACGTCAATGCAACGCTACGGAGTGACCATGCTATGGAGCTCACGTGCGCACGAAGCCGGACCTGTGTACACAAACGAGAAAAAACACGAAGGACCCGTGGGTGAAACCCGCCAGGTGCATGACGAGCACCCCACCCACACACTCGCACACAGGGGTGTTTTTTTTTGCCGTTTCAAAAAGCACGCAACTTGCGGGTACGTACGTCGGGAGGTGACCCCCCCCCACCCCTCCCTGCAACGACGGCAACTACCGCACGCGATCGAACTGCTGTTTTTCACCTCTGAACCACAAGGCATGAAGAAGGTGGTACAGAAACCCTCCACCCGTACCTTAATCAAACTTGGGAGCTCCTTCAGCACAGCAGCGATGATGTTTGCGGCGGGCAGGGTGTAAGTGTTGCGGCTGAGGGCCGCAACCGTGATGAACTTGGCATCCCTGCCAGAGAAAGCGTTCGCTTGGAGCTCGAGAGCCCTCGCCTGCATGCAAAGTACGTTCGGAGCGAGTTCGTTCGGTGGTATTGGCTTGTGGCCAAGGATTTTTCCTTTTGTTCCCAGACAAAAAAAAACGACGACATACAGCCCGCTTCCCCGCCGCGCACCGGAGGGAAACAACCCTTCTTCATGTGGTGTTTGATCCTGTATCGGAGTAGTTTGCTTTCGCTAGGTTCCTAGTGAGCCATAGAGAAGGAGGTTCTAAAACACCCCGGGATGTGCCACTGGGACCCACCAGTCGACTCCAGGTCGCGTTATACCAACATATTTTTGGACCGTGGGGATGTTTGGCCGAGCACGAAACCTATCGGGCACCAGTTACCGACGGCCTGTTGGGGTGCTTCAACATTGGGCAAGATGCGTCGCCCTGGTGTGTGTGGTGGTGCTCAGGCATGATGTGGGTATGGTACATACACATGGGATTGATAGACGCATACAGAACAACATGAGCCCCCCCTCTAAGTTTCAAAACACAGGCCATCAAAGCAACGCCCACGGGTATATCTGATGATATACTCGGCACACCCATCACTGTCACCACTGACAGAAGCCACAGCAGGGTTTACGACGATGCTATGTATATATGCCTTGTCCTTTGGCCCTGCCCTTGGATATCGTACAGGCTACAGTACGTAGTTATTTCACGAATAAATGCATGAGCATACCCACGATAAAACCTATAGCTCCCTATTGGCCTCCTTCCCCATTCCCCACT